CAACTACTGCAACTCCCTCCTCACCGGCCTACCTCATCACAGACTATCCCCACTTCAGTCTATCCTGAATTCAGCGGCCAGACTCATCCACCTTACAACCGCTCCGCATCTGCCACCCCCCTCTGTCATTCCCTCCCTTGGCTTCCGATTGCCCAACGCATTAAATTCAAACTACTAACACTGACGTACAATATATAACCATATATGCCATTCATAACCCTGCCCCAAACTACCTCACCAACCTGATACCCAAATACCACCCAACCAGTACTCTTCGCTCCTCACAAGACCTCCTACTTTCTAGCTCCCTGGTCTCCTCCTCCCACGCCCAACTGCAGGACTTCTCCAGGACTTCCCCCATCCACTGGAACTCACTACCCCAATCCATCAGACTGTCACCTACCCTCCTCACTTTTAGGCGCACCCTGAAAACCCATCTCTTCAGGGAATCCTACCCCACCCTCACCTAACAGCCGATCTCCTCCACTCCTCCTACCACTCCATCCCCCACAGCCACTTCCCCCTGTACCACTATCCCCTCCCTCCTAGATTGTAAGCTCGAAAGAGCAGGGCCCTTGAACCTCTCGTATATTGTTTTGTTACTGTATTGTCTCATGTACTGCCCCCACTATATTGTACAGCGCTGAGCAAACTTTTTGGTGCTATATAAAATACTGTATAATAATAATAATAATGCTATCGCTGTTCTTTAGCTGGTCTAAAACAGCTTTTGACCTAAATGGACTCTTTTTGGATGCCACGGACATTTCCAGGCAGAAAAAACAGTAAAAATGCAGGCAGGGCACAGGACAAAGCACTCGGGACAAAATGTATGTGAAATGGTTTGATACAGTAATGTTTTACTATGTGATTTTAGTGTATTGAGTTAATGTCACTTTTTAAAAATTTCCCACCGGTTACGTCCCCCGTATGTCCTGACGTATGTCCAGGGCATCGGCTGGAGGAGATGGCCGGGGACGCTGCAGGGGGGACATCGCGGGAGCAAAGGACAAGGTAAGTGCAGAAGGGTTCCCGGAGCAACGCTGCAGGGTATTCCCAAATGTAGCACGGGGTTACCTCTTGTGGTGCTGAAACTTTACCCCGAGCTACACTCGGGAATACCTCCAGGGAGGTTAATCAGAGTATAGCATCAAGTCAATTAAACTCCTGGGAGTGACACCACTGCTGGCCGGCGCATTGGCGCCATACACCTAGTCCTGTAGGGGACATGGAAATACACGCTCTTGCTGGGCGTTCATCAATCTACACGTGTACCTGGATGGAAGCGGAGCCCGTCTGTTTACAGTCCCAATGCTGGCGGCTGCCTTCCGGACTCCGGGCTTGAATCCAATAACAAGAGATACTATGCACCGTCCTCTATTCATTGAACGGGTGGTGAGTGGAACACTGCTTATACTGAAAAGGAATTACGGCCTTAAGGCCTCCTCTATTTAAGGTTACATAGTGACTACCATATTGACTGTCACTTTCATGTCACTTATTTATCACAGGATGGGGACATTATGCCACACTTCCTAGATGGTGGGCAGCACCCTACTTCCACTATACAGCGTGGATATCCACATTACTTCTAAATCAGCTATGCACTAAGGGAGGCATTTAGTCCGCATGCTGGCGGTGAAGAATCCCTACACTATATATTGGCAGGGCTCTGCCATTTCAACTACAGATGACGGATGTCATATGGAGAAGTCACTATTGTCATCAAGTTTTTTCCACAGATCTATGTTCACCCAGTGTTACCTTTGGACACTGTTTTCAACCTATTAGTCAAGAACCACTCATTCCTGCTGAGAAAGTTATATCTGTCTGAGAACAGTGTGTTTTCATATATCACAGCTTCAGTTCCACTGGTGCAAATATCAGTATTCAATTTTTGTGTTGCATATGTATCTCTCTTTAGATTCTTGCCCTGAGCTGGATTACATACTAGCATACTAGCATTGTCTAGTTGGGCTCCTCAATCCATGTATTACACTGGTACCAATGTTTTTGCATTGCAATTTTGATGCATAGTCCTTCATGCCTATAATATTTGTGTACAACCCCTGCATGGTGGTGTTTCCTATGTGCCTGTGCTGCATATACACTAGACCTTGTGTCATTGTCTTTACAGCACAACCATACTCATGGCTGGTCATGACGTCTTTCTTTTAAATAATTTTTTGTTTTAGGTCAATTCCTTTGGTATTGTCTCCTTTTGTGGTGATGGCTAACTGTGGTATTTACCTAAATGTCTAAAACATGTGCAAAATTTGCAATAAAGCATAATTTTTTGATACATTTTTGGGTATCGCTTTCTGTCCATAATGTAACCGCTTTTTCTTGTGAATTTCTTTTCACAGCCCCCCTTTTTTGCTGTCTGGTGTTTGGTTACTTGGCAGATAAAATACGTTCAGTGATAGTGATAAATATATATGGCCTCATGCTCTCTTGTTATTATTCAGCGGACAGATCACCTGAGCAGGCGGATCCGCTTGGCGTAGTTCGCCTGTGTGAAAGGGTCTTAAAATAGGTAAAAGCAGAACGTTTGTTCTATCACAAATCCCTCAGAATCAATAATCATTTTGTCTATGATCACCTCCCCCCATTCCATCACACGTCAGACATGGAAAGTTATATTGTGAACCTAGCCTTAAAGGGAATCCATTTACTGGTGCAATCTTCATAAGGCATTATATCTGTGATAGTGTGCAGCAGCTGCAGCAGTAGTCACTCATGTGGTCTTGTGGTATGAAGGTGTAGTAGGGTGGGGGCGGTGATCACAGACAAAAAAATCATGATTGATCTGATGGTTTTATTTATCACAGGTACTTATATAGCACTGTCAATTTATGCAGCGCTTTACATATATATATATAATGTACATTCCAAGGGGTGTACAATCTAAGGCCCCTAACTTACATTCATATACTAGGGCAATATAGACAGGAGCCAATTCACCTAGCAGCATGTCTTTGGAGTGTGGAAGGAAACCAGAGTACCTGGAGGAAACCCACATAGGCACAGGGAGAACATGCAAACTCCAGGCAGGTGGTGCCATGATTGGGATTTGAACCAAGAACCCTAGTACTGCCAGGTGGAAGTGCTAACCATTTAGCCAATGTGCTACCCATATACCTGGCCTCACAGAATCTTCACCCCTCATGGGGACTGAGGACATTTTTTAACTATTTTGGACTCCACAATACTCTACAATACATTGTGAGATCATGATGAGATGGGATGGGTCAGGTGTTTGCAGCAGGAGCCGAGAACCGGAACGCTATGTGTAAGCTGATGCCTGCTTATGGTAACCTGTGTCAGAGGGACTCCAACATTTTCACAGTGCCTGGGGACTTACCACTGTCTATAGGCACATGGACACAGATCAAAAGACAGCCATGAGGAGGACTTAAGAGCCACCTCCCTCTGTGTAACTTTACAGCCCTGAATTTTTAGATGCCTCCCCACCTTTGACAATGCCGACAATCGGTCTTGTCACCTACTATGGGGTGGGGTCCATGGGGTTCTCTGCAGCTCTGTAACTCCGAAGTCAGACTTTGGACTTTGCACAGTTGCCTAAGTATCTGACATCGCCATACTCCGCATCACTTCCCACCCGCGAGCAGCAGTCAACACGGAGGAAAGACAAGCCTGTGAGGCCCCTCTGTGTGCTATACTGGCTCTGAGCTGTCCCAGCCCACTGGACAAATGCCTGCTGTGCCGATGGCCAGTCTGGGCCTGCTTGTGGTTTCCCAGCTCTCTGGTAGTTGTAGTTCAGTCAGCACTCAGAAATACAGTATGTATTGGCTATAGGACTACAGGTCCCAGTATCCTCTGCTGTCAGAAGAACTGGATCCACTCTGCTAACAGGAAGTGATGTAGTAGTCCCAGTACTGGGCACTAGGGGGAAAAAGGATTAACCATAGTTTCATCTGTAAATGTTCCTGAATGGCATAATGATGTAGCCAGCACCTGGCTACATATAGAAGAACCGCAGAATCAAGTTCATTGCGCAACCAGTTTATTAAAAAAAAATGTTTTGCTAAAGTCCTGTGTGGTGAGCCCTGGTACTGGCTATTGGCACAGAGTGGTGAAATCCTATGGAAAAATAAGTGCTAAATGACCCAGTATATCTCAAAGGGTCATAAGTTTCAGGTGAGTCCTTACCTAAACGGGCATGTGGTATCACAACACTTTGTTGCTAATATCCTGCACCGAAAAACAGAGTTAATTTGTGTTTGAAATATAACACTGTGTGGATTTGGAGCACGAATAACACTTATGGCCACAATTATCAGAGCACTTGGAATTGGATAATTGTTTTTATAGCATGAAGTTAGTTTTTATGTACACTGCTGGAATTTGAAGCTACACAAAGTAACATTTGTATAGTGTTGTCGCATTATTATTTCTTTAGTCACTGTTTTTTAAATAGAGCTGCTCACTATATTGGCTATCCATTGATATAGGTGCAGTTAGTTGGGCGCACATTTTTGAGAGGCTGCTGGGGAGAATTTATTGGGCACTCCAGGGCACTGGTAACATCTTTTTTGCTTTGGTTTATATTTTGTACATCAATTTACCAATTCGTCCTTTAGGATCAAAAACAAATATACAGATTAACTTTCTAAACTCTATGTTCAGGTTTATTGCACAGCAACGTAATGAAGACTGTTAAACATTAAATAACAAATGCTCAAAAGCAGGTTACAGGTAGTCTTTTTTCAGAAGACATGGCTAAAATGTTTTACTATGTAGAAGCTGTCGTTATACTATTTTCTTTCAGGTATGTAACATTTGTGGAGCCGGGTAACGTGCTTGTAGTACCTGTTGAAGGCAGCCATTGGTTTAGCATGCGTACAGTTGTGGATTTGTTGAGACTAAAAGGACACCAGATTTTTGTAGTAGCGCCAGACTTCAATATCCATATTCAAGCCTCTGAAGGTTATGAGATCAGGTACTACCCTGTATCATATTCTCGTGAACATTTACAGAGCCATTTAAAGAAATTTTCAACTGAAATTTTTACAAAAAGATCTTTTCTGCAGAAGATTATGAAGATGCATGAGAGGATGAAACAGGGAGCTGCCATGATGTTTGATACATGTGTTAGACTACTGAACAACAAAGAGTTAATGCAGACCTTGGAAGAAACCTCTTTTGATATTGTTTTCACAGATCCTGTGCTTCCATGTGGCCAGATCCTTGCAGAACATCTGGCAGTACCCTCTGTGTACTTTTTGCACTCCATATTCTGTCATAAAGATGCAAGATCTTCTCTGTGTCCAATACCACTATCTTATGTACCACGGCAGTTATCAGGTCTTACTGATCATATGACTTTCCCTCAAAGACTACAGAACTTCGTTTTTGAAATAGTCTCATATTTTCTGTGTGATTTACTTTACTCTCCATACCAGCAACTGGCTTCTGAGTTCCTTCAAAGGGAGGTCAGTTTACAGGAAATTTTAGGTCATGCAGCCATCTGGCTTATGAGACTTGACTTTGTGCTTGATTATCCAAAGCCTGTGATGCCCAATATGGTCTTTATTGGGGGAATAAACTGCGTTCAAAGAAAGCCTCTAAAGAAGGTGAGGATTCTAAGCATTTGATGTGCTAGCATATATTATGTACACTGTATATACACATGTGTGTGGTTAATGGGTCCTTGGACTCACATCCTCTCGAAGCAAAATCTTGTAGGCAATGCCCCTTTTAGAAGAGCCCCCTGAATATGTATTTCCTTCCCTAGTACACAGTACTAGAATAAAACTTCTTAGTGGATGGGCAGGGTGAAATAAATATGCATAACCCATTGCATTGTTTCTTCTTATTCTATCTACTGGAGGACACTTTCCAGTAACAGGCAAAATTAAAGAACATTCTGAGTTTAGGGCAAACCCAACAAATGCAGAAAACAATAGCAATCAGTGCTCAGGCTAGCTATAAACTTAGTAACTTTAGACTAAATCTACCATAGTGACACTCAAACTTTGCCAGAACTGCTAAACCTCCTTTCACGTATGATTCCTCAGAATCCTCAGAAGGAGTGGTAGGGAGAGGAGCAGGAGTGATGGGGAATGAGTCCCTGATTAGACTTATTCAGTTGTGTTTAAGGGTCCATTAACACTTCAAAGAGTATGTTGAGTGCAGGTAAATGCATGTGCGTTGATGAGTGTTGCCATTCTTCATTTCACTGCATTTTAACTCCATGGCAGTACACATATATCCAGCCTCTCGTCATTAAGGCCCACCTGTTGAGAGGCTGCACATATATATGTACCTTTCGGCATCTGAAACCCCTTAACCACTAGCCTACAGGGCACTTATACCCCCTTTCCTGCCCAGGCCAATTTCCAGCATTCAGCGCTGTTGCACTTTGAATGACAATTGCGTGGTCATGCAACAGTGTACCCATATGAAATTTTTATAATTTTTTTGTGACAGAGCTTTATTTTGGTGGTATTTAATCACCTCTGGGTTTTTTATTTTTTCTTAAACAAACCAAAAACCACTGAATTTTTTTTTAGTTTTTGTTATAAAATTTTGTAAATAAGTGATTTTTCTCCTTCACTGATGTGTGCTAATGAGGCTGCAGTGTTGGGCACTGATAGGCTGCACTGATGGACACTGATAGGTGGCACTGATGGGCACTGGTAGGTGGCACTGATGGGCATTGACAGGCATCACTGATGGGCACTAAAAGGCAGCACTGATATATGGCATCGATAGGCGCCACTGATAGGTGGCACTGATAGGCGGCACTGACTGGCACTGATAAGCAGCACTGACTGGCACTGTTAGGTGGAACTGATAGGCAGCACTTACGGGCACTGATAGGCGGCACTGATGCACACTGATAGGCGGCACTGACTGGCACTGATTGGCAGCACTGATAGGTGGCACTGATTGGCAATGATAGGTAGCACTGACTGGCACTGATGTATGACACTGAAAGGCAGGTCAGATGGGCACTGATATGTGGCATTGATGTGCACTGGTAGGCACTGATATGTGGCATTGATGTGACACTGATAGGCACTGGCAGGTGGCATGGATGAGCACTGAGAGCTGGCACTGATGGACACTGACAGGTGGCACTACTGGGGCTATACTGATCATCAGGGCACACTGATCATCAGTGCCCTGATGATCAGTGCACATGTCCCCTCCGAGAAATGCCGATTACCGGCCCTCCTCTCCCCACGAGCTGTCAGTGTGACAGCTCGTGGGGAGAGAAATGCCGATAACCAGCATTTCCCTGTTTGCATGCGATCAGCTGTGATTGGACACAACTGATCACATGACCGAGTCGACATCTTCGGCTCTTTCCATGGATCGGTGATCTGCTGTGTCTGAGGGACACAGCACACCGCCGATCGCCAGGCTGCACGCTCCCAGAGCCACGCATGCGCGGTGAGAATGGGAGGACGTCATATGATGTCCTCCCAGAACGAGAGAAACCGCCTTGCATCCGTCATTGGTCTATATGGCAGGCGGGAGGCAGTTAAAGGGCTGGGAGGTGCCAGCACCAAGGGGTTAGCATTCACTTTTCTCCTTACTTCCTGGGACAAGCAAAGGGTCCGCAGAATGGCTGAAATGCCTAACCTGTGCTGGCCTGCTGTTTGTCCTGTTTGTTGAGGCACATTGCACTGCGCTAGCAAGCTTTACTATGCGTTGCCTCGTGTTACGCTGAAAACAGTGGAGCTTGCTTACTTTTTTCCACTGCAAACCAGTGCATATCAGTGCAAGCACCAGTATGAGCGGCTGCCATTCATATACCTTATATTTTACCAGTCCTTGCATTGACATGCTTTAAAATAATGCCAGCGCATCTGGTGTGAATGGACTTATTGTGTTTGTGTTTTATTGAACACAAACAAACACATATATAATACCCAACTTTGGGGGTAAAAATCTAGCTTTCAATATCTTTATTAGTTTTTTTTTTCAAAGATGTAAGTTACAAAAACAAAGTTTAGCACGAGACCTCCCAATATTGGGAGTATAAAATGCAAAAGACATTGGGTGGTAATGCAAACAGCTTCAGTTTATACAGTCAGTGAGTCAGTTCATGTATAGTCAGTGACAAGATGACCCCCTTAGTAAAGTTGAAGGTCCTCAAGGTGTTGGATGTGGTGTAGTGCATGTCAAGCAGAAGGATAAACAGAACAATTGTTTGATAAGGTACACAAATCAATGGTCAAAAACTTTGGACAATTAAACAATATAAAAGTAGTAAACCAGTGAGCAATCAGCCCAAGACCTGAGAATATTGTAAGAGAGAAGAAGGCAGAAAAAAAAAAAAAAGCAAAAAAAGTAAGAAGAAGAGCAGGAGCATTCAAGGTATCTCTTCCCTTCCGCCTCAGCCATCCACCAACTGGTATTGTATCTGCGGTTGCCATGTTTTTTTAAATTTAGTTTGAATTATTATGGAGGGTGCATGTTAGTTTATCCTCAATCATGGTTCAATTTCATTTTTGTTTTAAATAGGTGTGACTATCGGTTGATTCCAACATCATGCAATGGCTACTCTGGCTGCTAGTATCATGTAGGAGATCAATCTTTTCCTTGTTTTAGGGATATCATCATCTATTTTTTTTAAAAAAAGGGTGCTCTCAGGTGTCCTTGAAATATTTTGGCCTGTAGCTGACCAAATTATATTAAGGGGTTAATTTACTAAAACTGGAGAGTTTCAAATCTGGTGTAGCTGTGTATGGTAGCCAATCAGCTTCTAACTTCAGCTTGTTCAGGTAAGCTTTGACAAAAAAAACTGGAAGCTGATTAGTTTCTATGCAGAGCTGTACAAGATTTTGTACACTTCAGCGTTAGTATAATAAATAGTAAATAAACCCCTAAATGTCCTAATCCAAACCCGTGACTTGGGGCAAACCCATATATATAGATCATGGAACCTATTTGGCCACATTTCTGAAAACACTGGAAGGAGCCCTGCGTATTCATCCTAGCTATTCTGGTTGAGACCATATACCAGTTTAGCATCATTTTGCAGTTAGATTCAACTAAAGCTCTGTTAATTGATATTGTTGCCTTGTTATTCATGATATATTGCCATTCAGACAGGTCCCACTGATCATTAAGGTCTCTTTCCCAATGTTCCATATAGGAGAGCTTACAATCTGATGTTAAGAGATTATATGGTATGGAAATATGACCTTTCACTGGTCCCTAGTTTTGAAGGAACTCTTGAACCAGGCAAAAATGAGGGACAAGTTGTCTTATAACTTATGATACAGTATAAACTGATTGTATCAAAATAGTTCCAATGAGGGTAGGTTTAATTTGGATTTGAGGTAGACCAGAGTATATAATGTATCTCCTGATAAAAAGTCTCCTATCCTCATCAATTTTTTCTTATTCCACCAACTGAAGAGGCACAGGGATAAGCCCAGAGTAAACTCTGATCTCAGACTGCTAATCAGTTTAAGAGAGTACAAAATTGGTGGGGTGTGACTTACTGGAAATCCACATAAGGGATGCTATAGAGCCCACTGAACAGGCTAAGGCTAAATCAACCCAGTGTGGAGTTGGACCCCCAATAGTTGTGAGTGCTAATTGAGCAATACTTGCTTAATAGTACAAAATAAGACTAGGGAGTCCTAGACCACATTCTAAGCTTGAGGGTATACATGGTGAGTTTGTTAATTCTAGAATGTTTGTTTTCCAAGATGAAAGCTGACATGCCCTGCAGGAACTTTAGCAATTCACTCTACGGAGGCTCCTGAAAGAGTTGAACAACTTTTCAGATCAGCTAGTAGTTGTTTTTAAATAAAAGAGGATAGTTTGCTTGGTATAAAGTATGTAGTGATTGTGACGGTACGTGGCGTCAGACCCCAGCCCTTCTCACCAACTTGTGACCAAAGGACCCGCCGATCTCAGACCGCGCTGTCACTTGCATAACAATGCCACTCTCAGCTGCGCCCTGCACAAAGATTTTCCAGCTTGCTGGACCACAATCTATGTGCCAGCAGCCTGAGAGTTATTGTTACTGGGTCAGGTTAATTACGTAATTAACCCTTCACACTGGCACCACCACCTTTTTTTTTTACAGAGAAGGAGGAAACTTACAAATCTTAGCAGTAACACTATGATTAGAATAAGCATCTGTAACACACTGTCACCGCAGACAGATGTATTCAGAGGATTAATACATACAGTAGCACTCTTCAGAGACAGGGATTCTTAGTTTGCATTAAGAGTTTTAGAAACAGTTCAACACTTTTCAAAAAATAGGATTTATTACTAAAAAGGTCAAAATGGTGCAATTAAAGTATTTACAGAAAAAGATGTAACAAGTATATATATATATATATATATATATAAAAAAGAGAGTAATAAAACAACAGAGAAATAAAAGAAAGAAGTTTCAGAAGGCAGGATACTTGCAAACGTCTTTGGTTTGAGCAGAGTCCAATCGTCCGAACAAAAAGGTTGCCTTTCTCCCAAAGATGATTCCTGATGTTAAAAGGGAGAGATCTTACTTTCTCCAGGCATGTCAGCCTTTTTTCTATTATCTCAAAGGGGTGTCTCCTGAAATCAAGTAGCCAATCGCCTCATTTGGGGATTGGTGTTAGGCGGGGACCAAGGTTAT